CCAGGAGGGCCCGGATGGCTTGCGGGGCTCGAGGGGTTGTGGGGGCAGGCTAATTAAAACACCTCCCTCTGGCTGATCGATGTCATTCAAGATGGCCCCAAACGTGCCTCCAAAGCCCCGAAGAGGATACTGATTTTCGCCCGTGACTTGACGGGTGCCGCTTTCTCTCTGTTGTTGAGGGCCATGAACCAAAGCAACTGAAGGCACCGCACAACGCGATCAGACTCGGGAGCAAAACAAACGAAAACAAGGCCAGCCACACAACGCCATCGAAATCATCTTGACAAGCAAGCGCTTGCGCTATGTACATTGAAGACACGCTCGAACCGGACACAGCAAACCGAACCTCTGGCTGTCTGCCACCAGGGAGGGGTCATCCGACTGATGTTTATTTCCACCCCTGTGCTAACAACAACGCGTTCAGCTTGCCAAGCACCGTCTACGGATGTTGAAACAACAAAATCTATATTCGGCCCCCTCCAAAGCAGAAAAAAACAATGGAAGCGAAAATTTACTGTGCGACGGCATGACTTTTTTCGCCTACAAGTGTCCTAGCCAGTTCGCATATGTTAAAATGAATTGCATAAAATACAGATGCGTGTGCACGTCGACGCCGTACCAAAGTTGCGATTTGAGCTGCGTGTCCCAAAAAGCGATTGGGACCTTTTGGTAATACCACCCAAAAATCGCCCCTGCCATTACCCAGGCATGAGGGCCCAATAGACAGGGGCGGACGCAGCCCCCCAGATGAAGCCAAAGCATCATCCTCATCCTCATCCTCATCCTCCTCATCATCATCATCATCATCATCATCATCATCATCAGCATCATCATTATCAGTATCAGCATCATCATCATCAGCAGCATCACCATAATCATCAGCAGCAGCATTACCATCAGCAGCATTAGCATCGTCATCATCATCATCATCGTGGTCGACATCATCATCGTCGTCGTCATCGTCATCATCATCACCACCACCAAAAACAGGATGGGCCGGCCGCCTGCAGTTCTCGCGGCACTCCTCCACGTCGGGCACCGCGGCCTCGGTGCAGTCGTCGAACCGCCGCTTAGCGTAGTCCAACAGCCCGCTCACCTCGTTCCTGCGCGCCGCGCACGGCCGCCCCCAGCCGCCCCCCTCCCCTGCCCTGGGCCCTCCTCTGGGAGGAGGCGGAGGAGAGGAGGGAGGGAGGATGGGGGAGCAGGGGGATGAGGGGAGAGGAGGAGGAGGAGGAGGAGGAGGAGGAGGAGAAGGAGGAGGAGGAGACATCGTTCGCGGCTTGGGGAAGCTCTGCGTTCTTAGGCGTCGGCGCGCTTATGCGTCGGACGAGGAAAGATGACGGAGGCGACCGAACGCCGCTCAGAAGGCGCAGAGGGCGCCAGAGGAGCAGGAGGGGGGGAGAAAAATGAGGAGAGGAGGGGAGAATGGGAGTTTAAAGGAAGCTCGGGGGGGCTTTCCAGGGATCCCAGGAGGGTCCTCAGGTGTTCTAGGGTATCTTAGGGGGCCTCCTCTGAGGTGGGGGAGGGCGACGCGTCTTTCTTTCGGAGCTTCGACATGGAATCTCAAGCTTGGGGCAAATCAATGCTGTAGTCGATGTCCTGCCCGAGGGCCGAGGAATGACCCCGCGGAATGACCCGAGGAACCGCGAGCCCCGTCCGAAAACCCACAGTGTCCATTATCTCAGCGTCTTCGCTGTACAGACAGACCTAGGCCAGAAGAACACCCCTCAAGAACATGAGACCCTCCGCTGGCCAAAACAGACAGAGCATCTAAGGGCATCCTGACCAGGGTGCACAAGAACATCCAACAAACACGAAGAACACGAGGGTACCCTCCCCGAACCGACCTCGATCTTATACCTCGGTCCGGCTGTACTGCAATTTGGGGCACGGAATGCGACGGGGCTGACCCCCCGACCGGGAGCCCACGCGCCACGGAAGCGGGGACGAGCGCGCGCCGCCTCGCATCGACGCGGCCTGGCAGCACACGGATTTGCAGCTGGCCCTGCGGCACGGGAGGCCGCCACGAGCGGCGAACGCACCGATCCTCCTCGATCCTGCTCGATCCTCCTCGATCCTCGATCCTCGATTCGCCCTCTTTCCCTCCTCCGCGCCCCCGCCCCCCCTCGGAGGTGCGCCCAACCTCCCCGCGGGGCCCCTGTGCTTCTCACGAGCGGCGGACGTATCCATGTCCGCGCCCCCGCGGGCTGGATTCTGGGGCGCGGTCCCGCGGATACGCGGCCGCACGGATACGTTCCGAGCGGAGCCTCCGCCGAAAAACGCCCCGCACCCGCGGGGTTGCGGCCCAGGGGCCCCGCCCGCGAGGCCGCGGATGCGGATCTGTCCTTCGCCCGCGAGACCGGCTCCGACAGAGCAGCCCAGGCTGGTGCCAGTGCGGAGCACAGCTGTCTGGCGAACCCCGCTGCTTCGACAGCTTGTCGAACAACATCATGGGGGGGGGGCGGGACCGTCCAATGGTCAGCGGGCAGCATGCGCACGTCCGCCGCAAGAGGAGGGCCCAGCGGCGCCTCCCCAGAGACACAGGGGGATCAAGGTGCCGGCCCTTCTGGCACGGCCCCTTCTTCCTCTTCTGATCAATGGGCCCTGGACACACAAACAAATAGACACGAATAACAGGATCCCCTATAGCTTCCCATATTTTCTGGTCTTCGTCTTCCCCCCCGCTTCCCATAGTTTCCCATCTTTTCCAGGAGTCGAACGATGAATTGTGTCTGTGTGTGTTTCTTTCCCTCCTGATCTGAGGAAGGGGCTTACGCATCCCACCATCCTCTTTCGCGGCACCACTTTCGAGGAGGGCGAGGCGGAAACGGACAGTGCAGAGATCGCGCAGCTCGGCAAGGCGAGCGCGAAACCACTGACGGTGCTTGTTGACGCGTGCACTCGACGAAGTGTGAGACGAGGACAGAACCTACAGGACACAGGACTGACAGAGAGAGAGAGATGGAGAAAGATAGGAGAGAGAGAGAGGGAGAGGGAGAGAGAGAGAGAGAAAGACAGACAGTGATGTCGGACCTGATATCCTGGTTGACAGCTAGACTCGCCAGACTTATTATTATCTTTCCTATTACTATTACTATTAGTATTATTATTATTTTTTTCTTATTATTATTCTTCTTCTTCTTCGGGATACGTTCCGACCAGCACCTCCAGGCGACTCCAGCCGTGGCGACGAGCGAAGGGTAGCGAGATCGGCATCTCCTCCTCTCCTCTTCTTACTCCCCCCCAATCCCTCGGGATGGGACTTGGCATGAAAAAACAAGTCGTGGAGGAAACGTGTCCTGGACCCCAGGATCAGCTTTCCGTCCCAGATCGCTGTTAGACGATCCCGTGGCCCAGGAAGGACCCCAGGACGCCGAAAACAGCTCAAAAAATCCTGGGCCCATTTCCCACAGGACCCTTCCCTGAAGCCCGCCGGTTTGATTTTTTCAATCCGCGGCCCCAGGAGGTCCCGTCCGCTTCCCCGGGATCACGTTTTCGTCCCAGATCCGTTGTTGATGGCCGCGGGCCCAGACAACGAGCCCCAGAGCCGAAATCGACGAAAAACGCTTGGATTGGAAAACCATGTCGTCGGAGATCTGGATCTCCTTCATGGCGGAGAGCGTCCTTGTGGGATTTCCGGGAACGGTTACAGGGGGGAAGATTGAGGCCCAGGGCACAGTCGGACCTATGACCCGGCCAAACCGAAGAGCACTCGAGGGCACCCTCCCCCAGGATGCAGAAGAACATCCAACACACGCGCAACACACTTTTTTGGTCAGCGGGTCGGGAGCGGGCCCCTTCCGGTCAAGAGCCAAACGGGACGCGGGTAGCCCTAATTGGGGAGACAGGGCGCGGGCGGGCGGGGCCCCAGGCGGCCGGAGGGCTCTGAAAACAGGCGGTGCCGAAGATCTTGCACAAGACGAGGTACGCCATGGACTGGAGCACGGGGCGCGGTCCCAGAGGGGAAGTGGATTGGTGTTGCCGTCATCGGCGCGCCAAGAACACCATCCTCGAGTGCTGCGCGAGGAGGGACACACGCACACACCCACGAAGAACATTAGGGTACCCTCCCCCAACCGACCTCGACTCTATACCTCAGGCAGACCGCTATGGAAGCCTAGGCGGGGTGGGGCACGTGGGGTATTGGCGTGCGCTGCGAGAGGAATGAGGCGAGAGCTTGGCCAGTATGCGGCGGGAGGTCCTCAAGCTTTTTCTTTCTACCACACCCTCCCCACCCTTTGTCAGATCCCACCCCGCGGGGCCACGATCCGCACACAGAAAGCCGTGCCCCAGGGAGGGACTTCTGCAGACCAGACCCACGACCAGGGCCCTCCTCCCCCCCCCCCCCTGGGGCTTTTGGGCATAGCCTACACACACCTCTCCGGGCCGAGGAGGGGGGGCGCAGGGGCAGGCAAGGGCCGCCACGCGCGCCAGAGGACGCGCGCGGGAGGAGGGGGCGCAGGGGCAGGCGAGGACCGCCACGCGCCAGAGGACGCGCGGGGGCAAACATCCCGCGCGAGGGGGCAGGCTGCGGCCCTCGCCTCATGGCGTTGGGCAGGACGATGCCGTCCTTGCCCCCGGACGCCCGGCCGGAGAGCGCGACCTCGAGGCAGTAGATGGCCTCCTTGGCCCGGCTGGCGCTCGGCGCCATCCTGGCCCCGCGGGCGGGCGGCTCGAGGGGCCGAGCGAGGGGGAACGACTAGTGTGGGCTGCGGGAGCCGAGCCCGACCCCCACCAGCCATCGCTTCTCCTGCATCGGCGGGTGAGGGCTGAGCCTGGGGCGCGCTCTGTGCAGGAGTGCGTGGCCTCTGGGGTCCTCTGGGGGCCTCCGGCGACTCCGGAGACCTCCGGGGGAGGGAGTAGGAGGAGGAGAGGAAGAAGGAGGAGGAGGAGGAGGAGGAGCAGGAGGAGGAGGAGGGGGGGGAGGCGGGAGGAGGGATGAAGAAGGGAGGAGAAGGAGGAGCAGAGAAGGAGAGGAGCAAGAGGAGGAGGAGAGGAGGAGGAGGGAGGAGGAGGGAGGAGGAGAGGGCGAAGGAGGAGAGGAAGAAGAAGGAGGAGAAGGAAAAGGAGAATTGTTGTTCCCCCTGCTTGGGGACTGGATTCGCCTCGAGATCCTCTCGGATCGCACTCCTAGCATTGTGAGGGGGGCGAGTGTTATAGAGGTGGAGCAGAAGAAGGAGGAGGAGGAGGAAGAGGAGGAGGAGGAGGAAGACGAGCAGGAGGAGGAGGAGGAGGAGGAGAATGAATGGGAATGGGAATGGGGTCAAAGACATTGTCTTGCAGGAGAAGGAGGAGGAGGAGAAGGAAGAGGACCAAAGAGGTGGGAAGAGGAGGAGGAGGAGGAGGAGGAGGAGGAGGAGAAGGAGAAGGAGGGGGGCGGCGGCGGCCAGTGGCGGGCACAACTCTCCAGACACAGATCTGAGTCCAGGAGGGAGGGCGAAGGGGAAGGGGGAGAAAGGGGGAGTCAGGAGGGACAGGGCAGGAGAGAGGAAAGAGGAGGGCAAGAAAGAGAGGCGGGACGGAACTCTATGCTTCTCACCCACCTCCTCCTGCTCGTTTCTCCCTCCCCCTCTCATATTGCCCTGTGCCGACAATGAGGCTGATCGTTTCGCGCCTGGGTGGGCCCCACTGAAGGATGCAAGACGAAGCCAGGACGAGGCTACAAAGTCGGGAATCTCTGAGATCCGGCGGCTCTGGACAATGTCTGAGGCGCCGCGGCCTTTTCAGAGCGCTCTGAGAGCGTTCCAGAACGCTCTGCAACGGATTTGGGGGAAACCGAAAAATACCGATACCGCTACTCCCCAGACCTCTCCCGGGGTGCGTCCTGACCAGAATTCCGAGGCGAATCCAGCGGTGGCGACGAGGGCCTCCCAGGAGGCCCAAAAGGGGGGAAACGAGGGATGGGTAGAGGCAGGAGTAGCGTTTCCTCCTCTGAGACTTGACCCTCGTCCTGGCCCCGTTCGATAAAAGGACACCCTGTGGCACCCAGGCGGCCACGGAAAGCAGGATCAGAGAAACTATGGATTCAGTTTGTGTCGGGGTTTCGGTTTTCTGCTATGCCTGGCGGCCCATAGGGGCCAGACGGATCGCGAGGAGGCGGAGGAGGAGGAAGAGGAGGAGGAGGAGGAGGAGGAGGAGGAGGAGGAGGAGGAGGAGGAGGAGGAGGAGGAGGAGGAGGCCATCTGTCCTGGGCAGACTGGCAGCCGTGCCCCAGGTTTACAGCGCCGTGCCCCCGGGCCCCTCGAGGGGGGGTCGGTGGCCCTATCTGCGGCGCTCCGCGGCCGCGGCCCACCAGGGCGCGGCAGAGGGCGAGGAGGAGGAGGCACTCGGTCGGGCGCTGCCAGGCTGAAGCCGGGCCTGTCCCGGGGGAATATGCAAAAATAGACTTATATATATATATATATATATATATAAAAAAAAATCTGGAGAATTGTTCGAGCATTGTTTTACCATGTTGTAGTATTTTGGGGTAGTTTCAGGACAAGCCCGACTTAATGCCAGGCCCAAGGTGCCCCCAGCACTTCCAGGGAGGCCCCCACGGCCTCCAGAGCACCCCGCCGCTAGGCCGAGAGGGCCCCATGGGGGCTCCCAGAACGGAGAGGAAAGGCTGGGGGCACCTGGGCCCCGAGGCACCCTTGTCGCAACCCCGCGGCTCCTGCAGAGCTACCTCTGCTCGGAGGTCCGCGCGGCCATCCGGAAGCGCTCTCTCTTCCCCGAGGATGGCCGGAGAACTCGGAGCATCCTCGGGTGCCCGCGGGCCCCCCGGGCTCGGGGCTCCCCCCGGGACCTCGCAGGACCCCGGGGCTCGCCACGCCGCTCCACGCCCGAGGCCTCGGGGGGCACGGGGCTGCCTCTCTCCGCACCTCGCCTCTCGCCCTCGCTCTTCTCTCTGCGGCCCCCCTGCTCCTGCGCCCCTCCCCTTTCTCTCTGTCTTCGGAGCTCGGCGGATGAGGCCGGAGTTGCCATCCTCCTCCTCCTCCTCCTCCTCCTCCTCCCCTCCTCCTCCTCCTCCTCCTCCTCCTCCTCCTCCTCCTCCTCCTCATTCCTCCTCCTCCTCCTCCTCCTCCTCCTCCTCCTCCTCCTTCTCCTTCTCCTCCTCCTTCTCCTCCTCCTCCCTCCTCCTCCTCCTCTCCTTCTCATTCCTCCTTCTCCTTCTCCTCCTCTCCTTCTCCTCCTCCTTCATCCCTCCTCTCATCCTCCTCCTCCCCTCATCGGCTCCCTATTCGGAGCTTGGCGAATGAGGCTAGAGTTGCCCTCCTCCTCCCCCCTATTTCCTCCTCCTCCTCCTCCTCCTCCGCCTCCTCCTCCTCCGCGAAAGGCTCAGGCAGCGGCCGAATAGTGGCCACCCTACCAGGACACAGTTGCGGAACGCCACGCGCACATGGAGAGTGGAAGAACCTGCTGGTTGGACACAAGATGCCGAAGCCTTCCCAAAGTCAATGAGTTGTTGAGCACTGGACGCTGAGTGCCGTGCGATGAGCACTGAGCACTCCCGCACGTGCGCACCGAATGGGGATCTGCGAGTGTGGCACCGCAGCGTGAGAATTTTGGACAGTTCGCGCGGTCCGCTCATTTCGCATGTGTGCACGGAGGTATGCCAATATGCCTGGCTCAAAACCTCTGTAACACTCATGTCCTCACGTCCCAAACTGCAGCACATAGAGTAGAGTTTCGTCACATGCTGACAATATCATCGACCTTGCGACCTCAAGAGCTCCGAAGACACCCAAGACGACCCCGAAGACAGCCCCAAAAGGGGGCAAGACCGCGAACTGACCCGATTCCCGCCTAGAGGGCCCCAGGGATCCCGGAAAGACCAAAGGGCCCCTGAGAGGCCCCCGGGAGGCCCCCAAGAGGCCACCAAGAGGACCCAGAGAGAAGCCCCTGGAGGCCCCAAGAGTGGCCCACGAGAGGCCCCCAACAGGCCCACATACCAGGGAAGCAGTGCTCCCAACCATTGTTATTGTTTGTATTGTTTTTTTTATGATCTATCTTTGTTCCTGGGAGCCCTCTATGCTGTGGCTTTCAGTCGCTCCCACTGCGGCTTGACCCAGAACCTGGGCGCGGTGGCGGGATGGGCCGCCGGCAGCTGGCAAGCAAGAGCAGATGCGGCGCCCAGAGGCACGCACCACAGGCAGAGCGGAGCTCACGAGGGGCCGAAGCCACGACCGAAAGCTTGGAGGCCAGAGGAAACTGGGGAACTACTTTTGGGCCAGCAAGTGGGCCCCAGCAAGAAATACCTTGCCCCCGGCCACCTCACTTCGCCCCCACCCGCCGCGCGAAGCGCGAGGAGAACTCCCTTTCGGGCCCCCGCGCTGTACTCCTCCGCCTGACGCGACCATGCGGTAGCTGCTGGCTTGGGATGCGAGGCAAGCGAGAGGCGCCATGCAGGAGCAGGGAAGCGGGAGAGGGAAGAGGCTGGCCGCAAATGATCATGAGACCACCTGCCATCGCTCGGACGTCCATTCCCCGTGCATGTTTCGGTAATCCGCGCGATGCCAAGTCCAAATGTTAGGTCGGGCATGTCCCCCTGCAGGCGGATTTTCGACGAAAAAAAAGCAATAGTCAAAAAATACACCAAAACAGTCGAAAATATACGAAACATCACCCCCATATCTCTCCTGTAAAGGGACATGCCTGGCTGAATGCCAAGACCAACTGCTCAGAAAGGGCGAGCCTCCCGCAGAGATTAGCGCCGCCCCCGCGTGCCCTCGACGGAGAGGGGAGGCCAAGGGGAGGGGGGGGGGCGCTGGGCATGGGGGCGTTGACAGTGATGCGGGTGTGCCAGGCCCGTCCTGGGCTCCTCCTCCCCCTCCTCCTCCTCCTCCTCCTCCTCCTCCTCCTTCTCCTCCTCCTCCTCCTCCTCCTCCTCCTCCTCCTCCTCCTCCTCCTGCTCCTGGACGAAGGGGAGGGGCCTGGGCAGTCCGATCGATCCTTTGTTCGCCAAGCGCACCTCCCGATCCCGATCGATCGGCGATCGATCGGGGCGATCGACGATCGCCCCAAGCCAGCGACGCGAGGAGGCCCGGAGGGGCGCCCGGCCGGGGGGCGCTCCCCAGGACTGCGCAGCCGCGCCGGTAGTAGGCCTTGCCGTTCGTGGGGTCCAGCTCGATGGCCTCCGCCGTCTCGAGGAGGAGGCGGAGGAGGAGGAGGAGGAGGAGGAGGAGGAGGGGGGGGAGGAGGACTGACTGACTGACTGACTCGCCCTCGGGGTGGCGGGTGACCGTAAACTACAAGAGACCTCTAAGGCGTAAGCACTCTGATATTCACTAATCCTAGAAGCTTCCCCGCAAGCTCCCAGAGCACAGCTTTGTCTCTAGAGCCTTGGGGGTCTAGTTTTGAAGGAGGAGGAGGAGGAGGAGGAGGAGGAGGAGGAGGAGGAGGAGGAGGAGGAGGAGGAGGAGGAGGAGGAGATGGTTCGTGGGGCGCGCGCCCGCCCCCGCCACAGGCCTCCGCCGTCTCGGAGAGCGGCGGCGAAGGCCGGAAGCGCCTGGCGTCGCCGAAGCGCCAGGTGCTGCTCTCCTTCCGGGCTCGTGGATCTGAGCGTCGCTCATAGGACGACGGCTCAGAATCGAGACGCAATCGGACCGATATACAAATCCAGAGTCTCTGAACACCGGCGGGCTTGGAGAATGCACCGGGCGCGGCGGCCGTTCCAGGGTTCCACCTCGCTCGTCGGCCAGCCGGAGGGGGGTGGGGAAGTGCGACGGGGCGGGCCTGCCCGGAAGGCTCGGCGGAAGCCCCCCCGACCTTCCGAGAACTGCACCAGGCGTTTTCCCCGAAGACACAGGCAGATTCTCAGAAGGCCCGAGGCCTTCTGGGAAGCCCCGCCGCCTCCCGAGAGGGCCGTGTCCTGCTCACTGTTCCCCCCTCGCCCGCCGCCGAGGAACTGCAGCAGGGCGGCGCCGCGTGCCCTGGTCGGGCCCCCGGGGCCGCTCTTTGGGGGCCAGGTCGGGCCCCGGGGCAGGGGAAGAAAGACCCGCGACGGGGGACTGGCCCCGGGGGTCGCGAGCAGAAACGCGACGGCGGAAGTCTGGGCACAGGTCCTCGCGCGTCCACGAGCACCGAATATAGGCCCTGCGCAAAAAGTGGTAGAGGAAAGAAAACTATGTACATACACCGATTCTGGCCGGGCCCATCCTGAGCCCAGGATCGGTGCATATGCCCTCCTGCAGTGGCCAGGAAAGCATGTGCACCGATCCTGGGTCAAGGATGGGCCTTGCCAAGATCGGTGCGTGTGCATAGCTCTCTTCGCCCGAAGTGGGCGGGCATCGTTCTACTGCACTGTAAGCACATGGGGCGCGTCTTACACAAGCGCCCAGCTGCACAGGCACATGACGCCTCGCATGGCCGCATAGCTCACGCGCTGCATGCTTACCGACAGGAAGACAAGGTACAACACACGCACACACAGAGTGAACAGACGGATTGGAGACACGCCGCGTGTGTTCCGCAATGTCAACTTGTGATTAGCAAAAACATGGGGGGCGCGTGATCGAAAAAATTGTTCCTTTGCTCGGGCGGATCCCGGGGGGGGGGGGGGCGCCAAATTGAAACACACGGCGGCGGCGGCGCTGGTGATTAGCGCCGACGCCCAGCCGACTGCAGGAAGGCGAATGGCGCGACGCAAGCGGCGCCGCTTCATCGGAAAGGGACAGCAACGCCTCCGATGTAGCGGGGCGCTTGGGCCAAAATGGATACAAACAGGGGAGAAAGAAGAGGCGGAAGAAAGAGGCGCCTCGGCTGGCGCGCGGTGCCGACATGGCTACAAACAACAAAAGAAAGAGAGGGGGAGGAGCGGAAGAGGCAGGCGGAAAGGGTTCCTCCTTTTCCTTCTCCGACGACGGCGACGGCGGACGACAACGCGCTGCGGATGCTCCATGGCGACGAGGACGAGGATGAGGACGAGGACGAAGGCGAGGCGACGACGACGACGACGACGACGACGACGACGACGACGACGACGACGGCGGCGACAACGACGACGACGACGATGGACGACAACGCACTGCGGATGCCCTAGTAGAGGGGGTGCTGCTCAGGCCCGCTGAATCGAGGACGACGACGACGACGACGACGACAACGACGGCGGCGACGACGACGACGACGACGACGACGACGACGACGACGACGACGACGCACTGCGGATGCCTCATGGGGGGGGATGCTGCTTAGGCCCGCTGAATCGAGGACGACGACGACGACGACGACGACGACGACGACGACGACGACCTGTGACACGTCAGCAATCCGCGGACCCCTTGGGGCCATCGACGTGTGAGAGATGCTTCCCCCTCCTCAAACCCTTCCCCCGAAGCCTGGTCCGGTCGGTTTGGGGGGGGGGTTCGGCCGGCCCCGGGTGAACGCGTCACGGGCCTCACGACGGACCAGGAGGGCCTCAGGAGGCCCACAAGATGGTCCAAGAGGGCCCCGAGTCGCCGAGGGATCGTTCCAAGACGCCCAAGATGGCCCCCAGACGGCCCAAGAGGCCCCCGAGACGCCCTAAGAGGCGCCCTAAGAGGGCCCCCAAAAGCAATCCTCTCCCTTAGGGAAACGTCGGATTTTAGCACATTCGCCTCGTGGGCTTTCACAACGTCCAAGACGGCCCGAGAGGCCTCCAAGATCGCCCCAAGACGGCCCAGGAAGCCCCCAAGAAGGCTCCAAGACGGCCCAAGAGGGCCCAAGAGGCTCCCAAGACGGCTCCAGGAGGAGGCCCAGGTGGAGGGCCAGAACTGAAATTTCGAGCCCTCGGCCCCGAGAAACCTCCAGGAGGCCCCGAGGGGCCCCAAGAAGCCCCCAAGAGGCTCCAAGAGGCCCACCAGAGGCCCAAAAGAGGCCCAAAAGAGGCCCCAAGGGGCTCCAAAACGGCCCCCCAAAGGCATCAAAAGTGCTGCCAGGAGGCCCCCGGGAGACCTACCAGGAGCCCCCCATGGGGTCGGCGGTGCGGCGCAAGCCCAAGAATCAGCCTGAGAGGTGGGACGGCCCCAAGACGGTTCAAGATGGCCCCAAGAGGGCCCATGAGACCCCCAAAACGGCCCAAGAGGGCCTCAAGAGGACCCCGAAGAGCGCCTCCAGGAGCCAAAATCATTGATTTCCCGCTGGTTGTTGAAATACTGTCGCGTTCTCGCCTCTTTCGGCTCTCAGAGGACCATGACGGCCCAAGCAGCCTCTAGGAGACCCCAAGACGGCCAAAGAGGCCCCCAAAGGGGCCCCAGGATTGTCCAAGAGGGCCCCGAGACGGCCAAAAGAGGCCCCCAAGACGGTCCAAGGGACCCCGAAGACGGCCCAAAAGGAATCCAAGAGAGCCCTCAGGTGGCCGCGAGAGGCCTCCAAGATGGCCTCTGAAGGGGCCAGACGGCGCAAGAGCGCCCCAAGCTGGCGCAAGACCTCAACAAGAAGCCCCAAGAGGCCCCGAAGCGGCCCCAATGACGCTCCAAGAAGCCCCCACAAGGCTGACCGCCCAGAAGCCCTGGGGATTACAGGACGGAGCGGCACGCACGAGCGGCAGCCGAGCAGGTCACGCCAACCAGCGCCCACACCTTCCACATTTGCACACTTTTCCACAGCGGCGATTACCAGTCTGGATCGGCTGCGCGGCGCCAAATCTGCCGGCCAGCAAGCGGGGCAGAGCACGTCTGCTTTGTCACGCTGGGAGCTGGGAGCCGCTTCTCGCAGAAACACTGCCGAGCATCGCGTGCTTTTAAAACCCGGCACAGAGGCCCATGACGGCCCAAGCAGCCTCCAAAATGGCCCCAAGACGGCCCCTCAAAAGACCTCCATGAATGACGGCCTAAGCGGGCCCTAAGACGGCCCAACTCAAGAGGACCCCAAGAAAGCCCCAAAACGGCCGCGAGAGGACCCCAGACCAGCCTCCGAATGGGCCACACGCCGCAAGAGCGCCCCAAGACGGCCCAAGACGCCCCCAAGAGGCCCCAAGAGGCCCCAAAGAAGCCCAGTGCAGAAGAGGCCCCAAGAAGCCCCCAAGACACCTCCAAGAGGCCATCAAGAAGCTCCCAAGAGGCCTCGCAACGACTGGACTGTACGTGCCCCGGACGTGCACCCCGCGAAGCGAGAGGAATCAGCCTGAGAGGTGGGAACGAATTCGCCTCGGATGTATACGATCCCTACAACGACTTCTATACGAAGGGCAATCGTTTTGAGGCTGCCGTGCAAGGGGGGGACACGATGCCCTCGACGGCACCCGCGACGACCCAATGGCGCGCGCGATTCAAAAATTGTTTCGCGCCCCGCGGGATCTATTCATCAGCCCCTGGGGGGGAGCCTCATTTGTCAACCCGAAGATGCAATTATGCGTGCAGCGTGCACGCTCTGTGCAAGCGTGTGGGCACCGTCCATGCAGACACCATATGCCGCATGGCGACGCGCCCAGGGGGGAAGTGAGAAGGGGCGGGCCTGCTCAGAAGGCTCGAAGGCATTTGGCCTTCTGAGAAGTCTTTGAAAGCCTTCCTCGAAGACACAAGCATCTTCTCCGAAGACCGCAGCAGGGCTTCTGAGAAACCCCGCCGCCTTCTGAAAAGGCCTCGTCCTTATCGCTCCCCCCCCCCCTCGCTCGCCGTTGAGCCTGACTTCAAGTCGGGCCTGTCCCCCTGCAGGGGGATTGTAGCCGAAACACTAAAAATACCCCCAAAATACCCCCAGAATGCGAAAAAGAATCCAAACATTGTCCCCCGACTATTTTTTGACTGGCTTTCGACGATTCCCCCTCTACAGGGACAGGCTCGCCATGGAGCCCAACTTCGCGCTCCGCGGCCCGCGACACGTGCGACGCGCGCGGTGCTCGCCGCGCCCTCGCGCCCTCGCCTGTCGACCCCACTTAGGGGGGAACGGGCAGCTGCTCCGCGCCGGACCGCGACGATGGCCGAGCGCGACTCTCTCTCTCTTCGCGCCCCTGCGCGGGACCTGGAACTTAGTCGGCCCTGGAAACGACTGGGCCGTCTTTTTACCGGTTCCGTTTTGCCGTTTTCTTACCGGTTCCGACGCCGTGTTTTTACCGGCTCCGTCGCCGTTTTTTGACCGGTTCCGGCTCCGGTTCCAATCTTGGAGCCGTTTTCTGGCTGTTTCCGGTCGCCGTTTTTCTACCGTTTCCATTTTCAAGGGACACTTTTTCGGAAACGGTGAAAAAACGGCCCTGCCGTTTCCGGGGCCCACAAAGACCTGGAAACACACAAGCGGACCAGATCCTCGCCATCGCTCGGACGTGCACCCCCTGCGCTTTTCTCGGCTTCGTGCGCGGCTTGTGTCGCCGAGTGATCAAGGATGCTCCGCGATGGTCGTCGCCGAGGGAAACATGCACACGTCCGAGCGATGCCAAGGATCGATACACGTCGTAATGTCTAATCGTAGTCATTTCTAATAGTGCTCGTTTCTAATAATTGTTCCTGGCCCCCCTGGTGGCCAGGAAGAGGCCCAGAATAGAACAATCAGAAATGAAAGGATCTTGGCCACCCAAAAAACTAGTGAACCTTGGAAAAAGTAGAAATGAACCATGTGTATACACACACACACACACACTTCTCCGCCACCACACACACACACACTGAGCACGTGAAGAAGTGCCCCAAAGCTCATGCTCTCGGAGCGTGCCGCGTGAGGCTCCCTGGGACCCGCAAAATGTAAAGCGCTGGACTGCTCAATGCTTTTCTCGCCTCAGAGAGTGCGCCGTGCCAGACGCCCAGGACGCTCCCCGCCCAAGACGGCCCCAAGCCTCCCCAAAAAGGCTTCCGGGAAGCTCCAAAGGCCTCCCTTCCCCCCAAATCGTGTGCCTCCTGCAGGTTCCGCCGATCGTGAGCCTCCAATCAGTGAGCCGTGGAATGCCGCTTGCCGTGATCCTGCAATCGTGCCGCCCGCAATCTGGTCACCCTTTCGCGCGAGAGGCCTGCGGTGGAAGCGGGGGCACGTGAATATATGCGCGGATCGCGTTCCCACACCCTCCCGGTCTCCCAACAAGTCGCGCGGGGACGGAAAAAAATCCAGGGAGGACACGGCGAGATGGGGGGCGTCCAAGAGGGGAGCGTCCAAAAGAGGGGTTCGGAGATCATGGCCCGAGGCATGTGCAGACCTGGTGGGCAACACTTCCAGGAATCCGAATGCAACACATTCGTCGCGCTTCTGCATAGACAGAAGGCGGCGGTGATTCGCCGCTGGCGCCTTCGATACACATCATATAACAATACTCATGTGCAGTAGTCGCTACGTAGCTACGTAGCGCCCCAGCTGGCGCCAACGGGGGAAACCGGGCGGCCCCTCTGGCGCCTTGGAGGCATCCATGTTAGCCCTCATCGCGTAGCCCCGTGCCTGCCGCGAGGGAGTCGGCAAGCGAACGCGCGCGCGCGTTCGTCACCCCATGAGCGAGCCAGCGCACTCCGCAGAATCTTCGAGCAGAGTAGCGAGCCCAGGGAGGAAGCGAGAGGGGACATGCCTTCGCAAAGGCGCCCCTCTGACGAGCTCTCTGTGCTGTCGGCGAGGACTGAGACAGCTTCTCAGAACGGCCCTGGGCCCTCCGAGACTTCTGAGACAAGCCCGCCCCCTCTGCACCTGCCCCACCACCCCAACCCGACCCGAAGACCCCCGAATTTCGCCCGAATTTAGGGTTGCATCCTTCTCCTCCTCCTCCTCCTCCTCCTCCTCCTCCTCCTCCTCCTCCTCCTCCTCCTCCTCCTCCTCCCCTCCTCCTCCTCCTCCTCCTCCTCCTCCTCCTCCTCCTCCTCCTCCTCCTCATCCTCAGGGGGGGGGGGAGGGCGGGCTTCGTGTGTGTTCTCCCACGTTCCCAGGCCCCCACCCCACTGGAAAATGAAGGGCGCAACGGGGCTTTCGGGCTGGGTTGGCGTGGCTTGGTGGGCGGGGTGACCCTCTGCATGTCCCCCTGGACTTCCGTTGCCCCCATCGTGCTCGAGGACAGCACCCCAGAAATGGCTTCGATCCTCCAGACAAGGATCTCGAACCAGCGTCGAAGGAGCATCGCCTCCCCGGGCCCGACACGTGGAAACCCGATGGCTTGGATGCTCTCTTGGTGCTCGCAGTTCTCTCTGGCGGTCAAAGCTAAAAGTAGGTTGGGACATCATAGCCCTGGACCCGCCGTGGAGTCCGAGCGACTGCGGGGGCCCTCCATGCCTGCTTCGCAGACCTGGCGTGCCACCCGCAGGCGCGCCGGTGCCAGGAGACCAGTTCTTGGATTCCAGGGGGTGGCATTCGAGTGCACAGAACCAGGGTGTTGAATTACAGAAGCCTGGGAAACTCAGAGGAAGGTGTTTTGTCTGGAATTCAAGAAATAGCCCGTGGGGAAAAAACACACTGTAGAGGAAAAAACACACACGTGTGTTTTTGTTTCCCACGTGTGTGTGTGTGTGCGTGTGTGTGTGTGTGTGTGTGCGTGTGCGTGTGCGTGCGTGCGTGCGTGTGCGTGCGTGCGTGCGTGTGCGTGCGTGCGTGCGTGCGTGCGTGCGTGCGTGCGTGCGTGCGTGCGTGCGTGCGTGCGGTGTGTGTGTGTGTGTATGTATGTATGTGTGTGTGTTTTCCCCACGTGTGTGTTTTCCCCCACGTTGTGTGTGTGCGCGTTGTTTCCCCACGTTGTGTGTGTTTTCTTCCCCACGTGTGTGTGTGTGTGTTTTTTCCCACAGTGTGTTTTTGTTTCCCACAATGTTTTTGTTCCCCACAGACCCCCCGCCGAGTACGAGCGGCTGCGGGGGTCGGGGCGTGCGCGGTCGGCGAGCGCGCGAGCGCTCCTCGCGCGCACTCCTCGCGAGCGCTCCGCGCGAGCGCTCCTCGCGCGGGGGGGGCGCGGAGCGCAGGCGGGCCGCCCCCCGGTGGCCGGTGGAGCTCTGCTGCGCGGGGGGGCGCCTGCAGAGCTCCGACTGGGCGGCCCTCCTCCTCCTCCTCCTCCTCCTCCTCCTCCTCCTCCTCCTCCTCCTCCTCCTCCTCTCCTCCTCCTCCCTCCTCCTCCCTCCTCCTCCTCCTCCTCCTCCTCCTCCTCCTCCTCCTCCTCCTCCTCCTCCTCCTGGGCACGACATTGACCAGAACAGAGTCTGCCATGGCCAACTCTTATTACCTACAAACTCAAATCAGCCTGCGATCGGTGCAGAGGCTCGCACACGGAGTACCGTATTCAAGCCGACGTGTCGGTACTCACCGCGAGCGAGCCGATCCCAGATCTTCGTGGCCCAGGCCGATCGTTTGGGAACGCAGGGACGAGCAAGGGAGCCAATCCGATCAGAAACGATCGCCTGACATGCAGCGCACGCGATGAGAGTAACATCAGCACCGAGAGAAAACCGAACGAGTGCATGGGCGCGCGCGCCCGCCTGGTGGAAGCCGCCGTTCTGAGCGATGATCCGCTCGAGGAGAGAAGGCGGGGCATCCTGCGCAATCTGAAGGGCGGGTTGGGGAGGGCGACCTCTCTTCGCCTGCGAGGGGTGGAACGTGTCGTCGCCCTCCCCAACAGCCCCGACCCAAGGAAGCCAGACCTTGAGGACCTTGGCTCTCCTCTTGAGAAGGTCTCGCTGGGCCTGCGACAGCCTACCAGCTTGCGCAGCCCACCGAGCGAACATATCGGCAATCTTGTTGCCAGCATTCAGACGAGGCGTCGTGAGACCCTGGGCCCAGTCCCTGGGAGTCGGGTGCGATTTTATCTTCGCGACCAACCGCGAAAGGTCATCTTCGCCACGGTCGTCCAGGAGACGCCAAACTTCGGTCCAGAGAAGGGCGTGCGGGGACAGACAATGGCAGCATTCATCTCTACCTCTGATACAAACACCTCGCCACACGAAATCGCTATCTGTGTGGATGACAGACCCAGGCAAGGCATGCCTGAGCGCAAAACAGAACGCTGTGAGCTCAGCCTCGTTTATTGTCGGCAGAATTCCGAGGAGAGGCCCACGCGCAATGGCAAGAGGCGTACGAGATCGACGAGCATCAAGAGTGGGAGGGGAAAGAGCAACAACGGCCCAGCCCGCAGAAGCAAGGTCTGGCAGCTCACCCTCGAAAACCGATCCGTCAATGAAAATGTCGCCTCCTAATTCGTTGGAAGATCCCAAGTACCAGAACTCTGGCGGCACTTGGGTGATATCTGGCTTAGTGAGCTCAGGCCTGGGAACAAGACACCGCTCAGCCATCACGAGAGCCAACGGGGATCCCACAGAGGCCTCCGCGAACCCAGAGAGAAAAGAGGGCGGTTCCTTTCCCACAACTTCAGGCTCGGCACAGGCGCAAGAAGTGTGGCGATGGAGGAGGGTGCCTGCCGTCTCAAGCTCACGAGTCTGCAAGCACACGGGGCAGCACGGGTCCACGTCGTAGCCCGATTGCCATTGTCTCTGCATGGGCCACTGACCACCGACGAAACACGATCGAACATAAGCCCGATGTTGAGCAGGAGCACCAGATCGCAGATAACTCACAACCGGTTGCAAGATGATGCCGCGCTCGAACTCGGGCAAGTTGAGATGTTCAGACACCTGCTTGCACTGCCATTTGAAACACAACCAGTAGAGAACACGCTGAACTGTACTGATGCAGACCGTCGTCGGATTGAACGCAGCTCCGTCAGGCAGAGTCCATTCAGACATGGAAGTCACTCGCACTCCGATCCTCCACAGCGTGGCCCAAGCAGCAGAAAACGGACCTCGAATGGCGACCCACGGCGTGTTCAGCGTGGCGAGGTGGTCGGCAGTTGCTTCCATGGCAGTGGCCATGGAACTCTGTGGCAGCCACTGCTCCCACCAGCACTGCAACAGAAACTTAATTGGCTGCCACGTCGCACGGTAGATCGGGTCCAAGTCCGTGTTGGGCGCGACCATCAAGGCTAATGTGCGAGACCGACCGTCGGGGCGATGATCTTGAAGCTTGCCAGCAAGGGAGCGAAGCGTAGACAACTCACCATTGTTGATCCCGAGGACGGAAGTACCGTGAGAAACTGCACCCTCGAGAGCGGCACGTGTCATGTGCCCAAGTACTCGTCGGCGAGGTCGCCCAGACTTGAGCGCTGACATGCGCTTGCGCCGTGCAGCAATGACTCGAAGCCTTGCCTTGACAACTGGCTTGCCTCGAACACGTCCTGCACCATAATCAACACCAAGATTGCGTTCGGTGCCAACGCCAAGAACTCCAACAGAAGACAATGTGCGCGATAAGGCCTTTCGCAGCTGTATACAGTTGGATACAACACGGCCCTTATCCACGGCAAGCCTCATATCGATCTTCTTAAGGAGTCTGCACAGCATCTTGGTGGCCCCAGCAAGCTCTTTGTGAACGCGAACGTGGGTCCCGTGCCGCTGCAGCCCGAAATCATCCACATTCACACTCATCATGACGCACCTGTAGCTCGCCTGGACCTGCCTCAACGGCCCAAGCAACAAGAGCTGGAGCATGACCGTGGCGTAGTGGCAGCCAGGCACGATGGTCTGCTCCACGCGAATCACATCACTAGCAATACCGTGCATGTCGAGCACTCTCGGCATGCGATACATGGAAATCAAAAGCTTCAGAATCCATAGTGGGAACGAGCTTTCGATAGCGGCCTGAAGCAAGTGGTGGTGGCGCACCAACTCAAACGCCTTTTTCAGGTCGAGCAAAATGGTTGCGGTGGACATACCTCGAGCTGTGGCGTACTCTGACCAGGCACTGGATATCCAAACGCATTTCTCGGAGCTCTTGCCTTTGACCGACCACCAAAAACTCTGGAAATTTTCTCGTTGCCACTTATGCACCAGGGGCCTTCGGAGCCTGCTTTGGATCCTGCAGGGGACATGTGGGAGCCCAAGAGGACGAACGCCGCCAAGACGCTGAAGTATAAATACCACACGAATCCAAGCTGAGGGCCACTCGAGATAACTTTCAATGGCCCCGATGATGTCGCACAATATTTCTAAAGCTTCGTCTGGAAGAAGAAGAAATAGCCTAGGAGATGCCTGATCGAACCCCGTCCCCGTGGAGGCCTTGAAGGACTTTAGCACGGCTCTAAGTTGAGGAACTGTGGGAGGATCAGGAGGCTCGCCGAGGTCATCTGGCCAACCGAGAGAGGGATGATGATGAGATACTTGCCACCATTCTTCCCACTCAGCCAGCAACGCCTTCATCTGCTCGCGAGACGTGGCAGGCCTCAGCGTCGAATGCTCCATGCACGAGGGCTGCCAAGGCGTGGGCAAGGCTGAGAACGAGTATAACGCAGACGAGCCGTTGGACGAGTGCTTTTCAATCCACCTGTTCCACTCAATCTCTTTCTGCTTGGCAGCCCTCTTGGCCTCGCGAAGAGCAGCTTCGGAAGACCACTGAATTAGCACAGAGACCACTGGTGCTGGTAAGTG